TCAAACGGAGGCATCCTGACTTACAGTCTGGCTCATAATAAAAAAAGGACATTGTCTTTTCTCCACTACACACATACTATATTAATGCAATTTAGATTATTTAAATAATTTCTGTTCAGCCTCCAGAGTGAATACCTTAGAAATTCTCCTACTGATGACCCTTTTGGTGCTAAGTACTGTCAAGTTGGTTTCCACTCATGGCAAGCTTTCTTATTGTTGCTGTTGTTGTTAAATGCTGTTGAGTTGGTTCTAACCCATAGGGACCCTGTATAGGGTTTCCGAGGAGCAGCTGGTGAGCCTGAACTGCTTACCTTGCTGTTCCAATGACTTTGCAGCTCAGTGCATTAATCTACAGTGCCATACCAGGGTTTCATAAATCTATCAAAATAGAGTTCCTAGAATTCTAGCAAAGTCACGCTTATTAAAGAATTTAGCTAAGTCTTTTCATCTTGTAGTAATACTGTCATTAGTTGACTGAAGGGTACTATATGATTCTAATCTGCGTGGGAATGTAGAAAAGGAAACACAAAGCCAGTTAGAAGTGGAGTCTACAACCCTTCCCCTCATCTATCTCAGACAGCATTAAACTTCAGAGAATAAAGTAATTTGGTTTAGAATTAATCAAGGTAAAGGTCCTTTCTGAAATTTTATTAGCAGATAGAAACTTCTTGTCACATAATTATTCATTTTGCTTAGATCCACAATCAATACTCATAAGCAGCAGCCAAGACATCAAAAGACATATTGCATTAGGCAAATCTTCACAAGACCTCTTTAAAGAACAAAGATATCAGTTTGAGATTTAAGGTGTGCCTGATTTAAGCCATGGTATTTTCAATAGTCTCATATACATGTAAAAGTTGGAAAATGAGTAAGTATGAGGGTAGAAGAATTGATGCATTTGAGCTGTGGTGATGGGAACGACTATTGAAAGTACCATGGACTGCCGGAAGAGCAAACAGGTCTGTGCTGGAAGAAGTCCAGTTGAGTGCTCCTTAGAAGCCAGGATGATGGGACTTCATCTCTCCTACTTCAGACATGCTATCAGGAGGGACCAGTCCCTGGAGAATGACATCATGCTCAGTAAAGGTGTGGGTCAACGAAAAAGAGGAAGACCCCCAGCCAGATGGGTTGGCACAGTGACAGCAACAATGGGCTCAAACATAATGGCAACTGTGAGCACGGTGTAGTAGGACTGGACAGTGATTCATTCTGTTGTGCACAGGGTTGCTATGAGTTAGAGGCATCTAGCAACAACAATTACTGTCAGGTTTTAGGTCCTCACACTAAATAACATTAAAAACAGTAATGAGTTTGAAATTTACTTCATGTGAGTGAGAGAAAAATATGGCTTGCTGGTTGGATAGAGATTGGTGGTCCTTAGAAACCCTGCAGATCTGGAAAGGAACACTCCCAGGCCTCAATTTCCAGCCAAACAATAGACAGGTCTATGGAAAGAGTGGACTCCTGGTGTGCCGCCTCTGTAGGAGAAGCACTGGACTTTAAACCATAAGGTCCGGAAGTTCTAACCCACTAGCTGGCTCCTTGGAAACTCTGTACAGGATTACTATGAGTTGGAATGGACTAGAGGGCACTTAAAAATGGAAACAGTAACACTTAGGAGGTAAGCACACATTGGAATAATCAGCCATTTGAGATTAAAAGGGCAGAATTTACTCAGGGGCAAAGTTCAGAAGGGTTAGGAAAAGAGGAGGAATGGAGACAGGAAACTCAGCCAGGAAGTGGGATAAATTATGCTATACAGTAAGGACTGTAGTCGATGAAATGAAACAAAATGTGTAAGAATTGCTAAATGGAAAACTTATCTGCTCTGTTAACCTTCACACAATTTACGCACACTCTCACAAAATCACCACATACAAGAAAATGACTTCATGCTAAAATTACTTCATGCAAGCAGCAGCCAAGAAATCAAATGATGTACTGCATTAGGTAAATCTACTGCACAGGACCTATTAAAGTGTTGAAGAGCAAAGATGTCAGTTTGAGGAATAAGGTACGCTTGACCCAAGCCATGGTATTTTCAATAACCTCATATGCATGTGAAAGCTGGAAGTGAACAAGTAAGACCACAAAAGAATTGATACATTTGAGTTACGGTGTTAGAGTAGAATATTAAAAGTATCATTGACTGCCAACAGAACAAACAGTGTTGGAAGTATAGCCAGAGTACTCCTTGGAAGCTAGGATGGCCAGACTTCTTCTCTCATACTTCAGACACATTATCAGGAAGGACTAGTCACTGGAGAAGAATATCATGTTTGGTAAAGTGGAGAAGTAGAAAAAAAAAAAAAAGAGGAAGACCCCCAATAAGATGGATTGGCACAGTGGCAGCAGTAGTGGGCTCAGGCGTAGCAACGATTGTGAGGTTGGCCCAGGACTCAGCAATGTCTCATTCTGTTGTACATAGGGTCGCTATGAGTCTGTGTGGACTCAATGGCACATAAGAACAAGAAGGAACTTGGGAGTCCTGTTGTGACGCTAAAGGATATACACTCGACCATCAGGTTGGTTTAAACAGCATGGTCAGCAGTTCAAAGTCAACCAGTTGCTCCTTGGAAATCCTATACAGGGTTGCTATGAGCTGGAACTGACTTGACAGCACTTAACAACAAAAACAAAGAAACTAGGGAGCACGGTGGCTCCACAAGAGAACTATTGAACTGTGAACCCCCCGGTCACTCCATGGGAGAAATGAGGCTTTCTGCTCCCTTGAAGATTTAAAGCCTCAGAAACCCTATAGAAGGTTGCTATAAGTCAAAACCGACTCCATGGCATTTAACAACAATGAAGGAACTAAGTAAAAAGTGTATCACCCTTCTAGTCAATCTTTTCTGTCACATTTACTTTTCAAAAACTACATTAATATAAAATAATTCTTCAGAAAGTTTGTGGTAAAATGGAATGGAAAGATAATGAAATGTTTGCATGAAATTTTTAACGTATTCTCATATACCTACATGGCTATATGTACAAAGGAGCTTCAGAATGCTTGTAGAAAAGTGGAATTAAAAGATAATGGAATTTTCCACAAGCATTTTTGAGTCCACTCTTATACAAGATTATAAGAATATATACTGTATTTTTTGCAAATAATGCATGTTACACATTTTTTTGCAAATCACCATCCTTTGAACACTATGCATGTGATATGTGTGCATGTTATTTTCATGGATGCATTATATGTGAAAATATGGCATTTATGACTATGTTAAGTGCCACTGAGTGGGTGCCGACTCATAGTGATACTGTCCAGGGTTTCAGAGGAGCAGCTGGTGAGCTTGAATTGCCGACCTTATGGTTCACAGACCATTGCTTCTCCTACAGCGCCAAAGCAGAGGTCCTAGCCATCTAGATTCCATCAAAATCGAACTGTGAATAGATCCCTTCTTTACAGCAACTCACCTACTTTCAAGAACAAAGTACAGGTTTGTTAAGAAGTGGTTTACTTTTCAAGCCAAGGATCAAGCTTGAAACAAGCACATACTGGGCAGGGGAAGTTTAATTCCAGTATATAAAGCAAATCTTTTTTTTTTTTTTTTATCCCTCTCCACCCCCCAAAAAAGGTATGAAGGTATGTCATACTGCATACTGAACTAAGATTTGGGGGATGAAGCAGGCCTGCCTACTTGTTAACTTTGGTGGTGGTGGTTATGTGCTGTGGAGTCAGAATCAACTCATAGTGACCCTGTACAGGGTTTCCAAGGCTGTAAATCTTTATGGGAGTAGAAAGCCTCATCTTTCTCGGGAGAAATCGCTGGTAGTTTCGAACTGCTGACCTTAACGTTAGAGTTGGGATAAGCCCCTTTTCCACTGGTTCCCTGAAGATGCTCAAAGAGATTGCTTGTGGCCATCCTACCTGGAATATGGCATGCTCCCAAACTCTTCACCCGGCCCCCGCAGAGACAGGCTGAAGCAGCTCTAGGAGGGGACGCAATAGGACACAGCCAGTTGGCTTTGTGGGTGGTCCGGACTGGAGCTGGGGTAATGCGCTTGGCAGATAAAGGTAACTGTTTACTCCCATGGTAGCATTGAGGAGACTTGTCAAGGCTGCGAGGGAACAGCCTGCCCACCGCACGCAGGGCCCACGGTGGTCTCCTGCGCCCCTGACTTTCAACCATTCTCTCTTTCCCACTGCGCTAAACGCTTCCCAGAGCGTTATCAGATTCGCTTCCCACTCCAGCCTGTGAGATAAGCGACTTGGTCACAGGTGATGGGTCACTGGTTCCTGCCCACAGATCCAGTCTTATCCTGAAATCCTTCTCAGAAGGGCTTCCAGGCCGAGGGCAGAGCAGGCGTGACACCCACTAGGGTGGCGAGCTACCGACGCAGGCCCAGTGGTGGCGACCACTTGGGATCCCTGGGGTCCCCTCCGCCTCTGCTGGGCCCCAGACATCAGAACCCAGAAGGTCTCCTGTCCTCCCTCCAGTTTACCTTCCAATCTCACCAGAGAGCATCCGGCCGGGGCCCAGAAACTCCGCGTCCACCACAGCCGTCCAGGTCCTGGGACCCACACTCCAAAACGATAGCGCAAGTGGTCAGCAGAATGCCTGGGGGCTCCCGGGAAAGAAAAACCAGACCCGGTCAGCAGGCTGACAGTCCCAGTCAGCTGAAGCACCGCCCGTTTCCGCTTCCCCGCCCGTCCTGGGGGGCCATAGTACCCTGCAGCCGCAAGGAGTTGTGGGTATCTCAGAGGCCAGAAAAGCTGCAAGGGAAAGGAAGTGTGGGGCGAGACAGCTTACGAACTACAATTCCCAACAGGCAGCGGGGCCACAGAGTTAGGCGGCAGAGAAGAGCGGGCAGAAAAGTCCTGCGCGCGCTGAGAGGATGGAACGTTGCTAGCATTCGCGGTTCTTGCTACACTGAGCCAGTGCTGGGCGCTCAGAGCTGCGAGTCGAGAAAGCGGGAATCCAGAAGCCTGCAGCTGCGCAATTCTTGCACATATTGAAAACTCCTGAATTGGAGGATTGGAGGACGCCATGCACAGGTAATCTGATTGCAAAAAGCTGCAAAGCATGAATGGATGGACCATCTTTAATTATTTTAGGCCATGAATACAGGCACTTGCTAATGTTATTAATGCTATTGCTATGGAAATGGATGCTTAGCCTCTTCTTTGGGAGCGTGGATGGGTACTTTAGCGCGGGCGGTGATCAGTATTATTTGGTTTCCCTTATAAGCCTTTGCTGCTAGGGTTTTCAATCACTGGATGGTCGCGCTCCCTCCCCCTTGTCCCCTCCTCTAAGAAATTCCTGGGGCCTGCCTGCATGATCTTAGATCAAAAACTTTTACCATTTATTTGTTCGACTATTTTCTTTCTTTCTTGGGAATTCGCGGCTGGCACATATATAAATGCAATTTTATTAGCTGCCTCGAAAGTTTCACGTTTTGTACAATGCATAAACTGCAACTTCTTTTAAGCTTGTTGTTGTTGTTATGTGCCTTGGAGTCGGTTCCGACAGGAGCAGAACGCCTCATCTTTCTCCCGCGGAGCAGCTAGTAGTTTCGAACTGCTGACCTTGCGGTTCGCAGCCCGATTTGTAACCACTACGCTACCAGAGCTCCTTTAAGCTTATCTTGGCATTATTTAGGGGCCCTGGTGATGCCAGTTGTTAAGCTCTAGGTTGCTAATCAAAAAGTCGACAGTTCCAACCCACAGCTGCTCCCCAGGAGAAAGGTGTGACAATCTGCTTCAGTAAAGATTTACAGTCTTAGAAACCATTTGGGGCAGTTCTACCCTGTGTCCTTGTTAAGCGCCATCAAGTAGGTTCTGACTCATGTTATTAGTGCCATCGAGTTGGTTCCAACTCATAGCGACCCTATCTAGGGTTTCCAAGGAGCAGCTGGTAGGTTTGAACCTCAGAAATTGTTGTTAGCAGTCCAGCACTTGCTTATCTGATAGTGTCACACCCAACCTCCACTCTGCCATTTAGGGTCTGTATAAGTTGGGATTCTATTCGAGGGCAATGGGTATGATTTGGATTTTAGCATTATTTAAGAATGGGCTCTGGAAAGAAAGTGGGGTTTTGTACATTTCTGCAGGAAACACCTCCAGGAAATTCCAGACCAGAGCAGCAATGTCACCACCAATTTCACATGGGGATGGGACTCTGGCAAGACTTCTGAGCTGCTGTCAGGCATGGGGGTCTCCACCCTGGAGAAGGAGGGAGCAGACAGTGAGAATATCCCCCAGGATCTCCTCTCAAATGTGAACCACTCACAGAGCCCTTCAAGAAAGCGCCTAAAAAGCAAAGAGAATGACAAGGACTTTGTGATTGCCCGAAGACAGAAGCAAAATCGAGAGAACTTTCCAGGTAAGACATGCAGGTAAAACTGACAGTCATGTAAGGGTTGGGCTGCCCATAAACCTTTGTTCAGGGATCTTTAGAAAGGGTTTCTATTTTAAATTGCTTAATTCTGAAGTGGAATCCTGACGTGGCACTGTAGGATAAGCACTGGACTGACTACCACATGGTCAGCGGTTCAAACCCACCAGCTGCTCCATGGACACCCACACCATTTCTCTATGAGTTGGAGCTGACTCAAGGACACTTAACAACAGTCTAAATTTGGAGTGGCACAATGGCTCAAGAATGGGCTCAAACTGAAGATGGCGCAGGAACAGGTAGTATTGTGTTCTTTGGTACATAGGGTTACTCTGAGTCAAAATGGACTTCAGTGGCACCTGACAGCAGTTATTCTGAGGGGATAGAAGAACTGATTGTCTTTGAAGCTTCCAGGAATCTTTGTGGTATCTGTTTCTAGTGTATAATTAACTTGAAAAAACCCATAATGATATATTCCTGCACTTGTAGAACGGAATCTGCCTGCGGAAAGACGTGGAGTAGCCAGTCAGCTTAGCATTGCTGATAAGAGGGAACATAGTGATCTTCCCGGATTCCTTTCCCATAATGCCCTCTGTTGGCTTTTTGCTACAGTCACTTTAGGTATTTGTCAATAAGTTGCTAAGGTATTTGAATGGTAAACTAAATGGAGGAGAGACGTCTGTCAGGCCCACTCACAATTGGACGTCTCTTGGTAGTTTCTCAGTTGTTGGCAATATTATTTGTCTAATCACCCATGCCAAAAGCCTGAGACCGTCTAGATTCCCCTAGTTCCCCAATATCCATTCAGTCTTTGCATCTTCTATTTCTCAAGCTCTCATTATCTCTTCCCTGACTGTTGGAATCCAGGTTGTGTTTGAGTTACAAATGAGATTCATTCCCAAGTTTGTCTTTAAGTTGAATTTGTAGGTAAATTGAAGCAAATTCTTGTTTAGCCTTACTTTACAGAAGCCTTGGTAGTGGCATAGTGTGTTAAGCTTTGGACTGCTAACCGAAAGGTCAGTGGTTTGAGTCTACCAGCGGCTCTGAGGTAGAAAGATGAGGCAGTCTGCTTCTATAAAGATGGACAGCCTCAGAAGCCCTAGGGAGAGAATGACTCTGTCTTGTAGGGTTGCTATGTGTCAGAAATGATTTAAGGGCAGTGGATTGGGTTGGGTTTTGGTGCAAGGGAAGGCTCAAAGCCTTTTCCATGATTTAAAAGCTGCATGTGCAGCAAGGGAAGGTGATGGTGATGGAGAATTTGTTGGGAGTTAGGGGTTGGTCCAGTGGATTCAAAGTGAGGACAAACTTACATAATGATAAAGGGCAAATATGAGTTGCAGAACAGGCTGTAGCCTGCTGACTGCCTGTAAATGCATAGCTCCAGCCTTATCCTTCCCAGATCCATTCCCTGGAGCCACAGTGACTTAACTGAAATTCTGTTCTTAGATTCCATCGAGCAGATTTCAGCCCACAGTGTCCTCATGTGACAGCAGAATTCCCCCATAGGGCATTCTAGCTTCTAATTTTGTTGTAGGATAAACACTGGACAGCTAGTCACAAGGTCAGCCATTCAAACCCACCAGTGGCTCCACAGGTGAAAGATGAGTCAGTGTGCTCCCATAAAGATTTACAGCCTTGAAAACCCTGTTGAGATTCACTGTAAGTTGGAATGGACTGGGTGGCACTGGTGGTTAATCTTCACAGGAGCAACCTGAGCCACACGGTAATGTTCGGCAACTTTTGGTTTAGCAGACAAGTACTTAACCAGCACATGTTCACTGTATCATTCCCCTCTCAGTAACTCTTCATCCTCTGTTAGACCCGTTCTCCCAAGCTGATGAACGTGTATTTCCCAGAATGGATCAAGGGTTGTCAGGTTTTCTTCTTAATAAGTCATTTAAACATGAATTCATTAAACATTCAAGAGGGCTTCAAAAAGTTCATGGAAAAATGGAATGAAAAGATCATGGAATTTTTCCACAAACTTTTTGAACTGCCAACCTTACAGTTCAAACTGACATTTCGGTCCAGTGCATTATCTCACAGTGCCACATCAGGACTCCTCATAGTGACCCTTTTCTGAAGAGTGGCTGGTGGGTTTGAACCCCTAGCCTCAAGGTTAGCAGTCCAGTGCTTATCCTACAGAAAGCACCATACCACACCAGAATTCCCAGGTAGTATGTCAGATGGCTAAAAACAAACACAGAAAGTTAAGAGGAACTAGAAATTCTGGGGTGAAAATGGACTATTTTATACAAGATAGTTAAGGAAGGCCTCACTTGATCTATGACCTTTGATCAAAGACTTAAAGGAGGTGAGGAAGTTGTTGTTAGGTGCCGTCCAGTCAGCTGTGACTCAGAGCAACCTTATCTACCCACAACAGAATGAAACGCTGCCCGATCCTACGTCAGCCTCACAATCATTGGTAAGCTGGAGCCCCTTGCTGCTTCTACTATGCCAGTCTGTCTCATTGGGGGGAATCTTCTTTTTCACTGACCCTCCACTACACCTACCATGTTGACCTTCTCCAGGGACTGGTCCCTCCTGATAACATGTCCGAAGTGTGATAGATGAATTCTCTCCATCTTGGCTTCTAAGGAGCATTCTGGCTGCACTTGTTTCAACTCAGATTTGTTGGTTATTCTGGCAGTCTATAAGGAACCTTGGTAGCCTAATGGATTACAAGCCAGGCTGCTGAGTGCAAGGTGAACAGAGTGAACCTAGCAGTTGCTCTGTGAAAGCAAGTTGAGGCTTTCAGCTCCAGTAAAGATTTACAGCCTAGGAAACTCTAGCAGGGTCACTATGAGTCTGAACCAATTTGGTGTCACACAAGCACCACCAACCACCAGCAGTCCATGGTACTTTTAATATTCTTTTCCAGCACCATAACTCAATGCATCAGTTCTTCTATGCTCTTCCTTATTCATTGTCCAACATTCACATGCATATGAAGCATGGTATTGAAAATACCATGACTTGGGTCAGGTGCACCTTAGTCCTCAAACTGACATCTTTGCTGTTTAACACTTTAAAGAGGTCTTGTGCAGCAGATTGGATTTATGTAATACATTGTTTGATTTCTTGACTGCTGCTTCCATGAGTGTTGATTATATTCTCAATCAAAATGAAGTCTTTGACAAATTGTCTTTTCTTCATTTATCATGATGTTATTCATTGGTCCAGTGGTGAAGATTTTTGTTTTCTTTACATTGACATGCAATCCATGATGAAGGCTGTGGTCTTTGATCCTCATCAGTAAGTATTTTAAGTCCTTTTCCCTTTCAGCAAGCAAGATTGTGTCATCTGCATATTGCAGGATGTTAATGAGTGTTCCTCCAATCCTGATGCCACATTCTTCATATAAACCAGCTTCTCTGATTATTTGCTCAGCATATAGATTTAATAAGTATGGTGAAAGAATACAGTGCTGGTGCACACCTTTCCTAAATTTAAACCATTCAGTGTCCTCTTGTTCTATTCGAATGACTGCCTCTTGGCCAATTCAGGTTCCTCATGAGCACAAATAATTGTTTCGGAATAATCATTCTCCACAGTGTTGTCCATAGCTTGTCATGAGCCACACAGTGGAACGCGTTTGCATGGTCAATAAAGCACAGATAAACATCTGTCTGGTATTCCCTGCAATCAGCCAAGATACATCTGACGTCAGCAATGATATCCTTCGTTCCACTTCCTGGCAGTTCCGTGTCAATTGTGCTATTGATTTTGAAAGGTTATTTTTGATGATGAATGGACACCGCTTCTCTAATTTGTCATTTCCAGCAGAGTAAGCCATGTGATTGTCAGATTCAAAATGGCCAATACCAATCCATTTCATCTCCCTAATGAACTTCATGCGTTCAATTCCATTTTTGACAACGTCCAATTTCCCTATATTCACATTTTATACATTCCTTATTCCAATGATTAATGGATATTTATAGTCGGTTCTCATTTTGAGGCACGACCCACAAGCAAATGAAGGTCCCAAAACCTTTACTCCGTTCACGTCATCACATCTTTGAAGGTCAAGTCTACTTTGAAGAGGAAGTGCCTACCAACCTGAGGAGCTCTTCTTCCAGCAGTATATCTGACAATATTCTGGTGTTCTTCATCGTGTTTCAATATTCTCTATTCGGCTGTTATCTGACAGTGTCCCACTACTGTTAAAGGTTTTCAGTGGCTAAACATTCAGAAGTAGTCCACCTCTCCTCCTTCCTAGTCTGTATTAGTCTGAAAGCTCACCTGAAACCTGTCTACCGTGGTGTACCCTGCTGGTATTTAACATACTGGTGGCATAGCTCCCAGCATCACAGCAAGATGCAAGCCACCACAGTATGACAAACTGACAGACAGTGTTGGGGTGAGGGAGTAGGCTATGCATGTATCTCAGAGAAGAGAAACCCACCCAGGTAGAGGGAACAGCCGGTGCCAAAACCCTGCACTTAACTGTGTCCTGTCCTTCAAAAAACAAAAGGGAAGCCATTTTTTCCAAGAGTGGGCTGAGTGCTAAAGGAGTCATTGGGGTGGTTGTGACATGACCTGATTAATCCTTCAAAAGGACACAAGGTGTGTTGAAACTAAACAGTGGAGGTAGAGGGTAGAAGTTGGAAGTCTTGCTAAGAGGCATTCATTTCCAAATGTGTACCACAGATGGAAACACTGTGTACCACAGATGGAAACACTGCCATCTTCCTAATTGTTGTTTGAATCCATAGTTGCAGTAATTCACCTCCTTGAGGAACTTGTATTTTCCCTGACCCTTCAGCATGGGAGTGGTGATTGCAGTGATTAGGTTCTAGATATATTTTGAACTTAGAGTCAAGAGAATTCGAATGCTGTTGAATGAATGTAGAAGAGGTGGTCAGAGTCTAAACCCAATTGGGGTGGGACCAATGGGAGAGAAATAGGCTAAAGAGAACAAATACTAAAGTCTTAATAGTCAAGGAATTTAGGTGAATGAGTATTTTCCCAGTTCCCCCATCCGG